GGAGGCTGGAGAAACTGATCTCATTCGGTCAATTAGATGGGTCCATTGCAGAGGGGATGCCAGCCACAATTGCCACACTGCCCATCCAGCTCACTATAGGGGATCACGTAGAGACTATAACGTTTGTAGTGACCCCTGGCATGGAGTGCCCCCTTATTCTGGGCATGGCATGACTAACCAAGTGGAACCCGCAGGTGGACTGGAGGACAGGAAAGCTCAGATTCCCAGACACAAATGCAGCAAGAACCCCGACTTAGCCCCGAAACAGAAGAAGCCCCTCCAAAAGAGCAGTGGTGTGGGGAGAAAAGGAGTTACAAGACATCCCAGAGGAATACATGGACTTAGCTGAAGTATTGTGAGGAGAAATCTGATGAACTGCCCCCCCAGTGGCCCACAGACAGCTCTATCAAAAGCCTCCCAGTGGCGAAGTTACCCAAGCTGCAACTGTATTCTATGAGCTCACAGGAGCTAGAGGAAATGCAGAAATTCATAGACAAAAACCTGGAAAGGAGTTTTATCCAATTGGCAAAGCCAAAGACTGCAGCCCCCTTATTATTTCGAGAAAAGAAGGACGGGCCTCTTCACCTCTGCGTGGATATAGATCTCTGAACCCAATGAGTGAGAGCAACCTATATCCCCTCCCTCTCATGAAAGAATGCTAGCCCACCTGTCGAAAGGAAAAATCTTTTTGAAACTGGACTTAAGGGAGGCATATTACAGGATTAGGATTAAAGAGGGAGACAAATGGAAGACAGCTTTCAATTGCCCCTTAGGATGTTACCAATTCAGGGTTTTGTCTTTCAGCCTTCAAGGGGCACCCACAGTATTCATGCAATTAATAAATGATGTGCTCCGGGAACACCTGTTTAAAGGGGTGCTTGTTTACCTGGGCGATATCCTGACATTCACTGAAACAATGGAAGAACATGTGAAGTTAGTCAGAGCTGTACTGAAAAAACTCCAGGCAGCTCACTTGTATGCCAAACTATCTAAATGTGAGTTCCCCAAGGAAAAAATTGACTATATGGGGTATTGTATCTTGCCAAATGGCGTAGAAATGGACCCTGGGAAAGTCCAAGCGGTACTAGAATGAGCTCCGCCCTGCAATTGCAAAGCTTCCTTGGATTTGCTAATTTTTACCGGCAATTCATCCCCTCCTTTGCACAGATCGTGCTGCCAATTACTAACTTGCTTAAGACCAAGGGGGAGGAAAAGCTGAAATCAAGCCAGACATTGAAATGGACGGTAGAATGTCAAACCACATTTGAAAGGTTTAAAAAACTATTTTCCTCAGAACCAGTTTTAAGGCACCCTGACACTGAGAAACCTTTCATGATCCAGGCCAATGCTAGCAATGTGGCTGTGAGGGCAGTACTATTACAGGAAAATGATGAAGGGAATTTGCAGCTTTGAACATATACATCAAGGAAACTCATGGAAACAAAGCAAAGAAGGGCAGTTTGGGAGAAGGAAGCATATGTGGTGCGATGGGCTCTTCTTACCTGGAGGCATTTCCTGGAGGGGAGCAAAATTCCTTTCCAGGTGTGGACTGACCACAAGAACCTGGAAGGATTAAAAACACCCAGGAAACTAACCCTATAAACAAGCGAGATGGTTGCAGCATTTCCACCAGTTTAACTTCACTTTAAAACATTTGCCAGGAGGAAAGAATTTGTTAGTGGATGCATTGTCCAGACTGCCCAATACAATAGCAACAGAATAGAGATAACAGACCCACTTATGCCATCAAAGCAATTAGCAGCTCAAGTCACCAACCGAGCACAAGCCAAACTCCAGAAGCCTCTAGCGAGCCAAGCAGGGATTGAATTAAAAAAACCACTAGAAACCGACGAATGGTTTCTAAGCCACAAGAACCTATGCACAATGATTGATAGCTTACCATGGGTGGGAGGGAAGCTATACATCCCAAAAAACCAGAGACTGACATTCATGCGACTATGCCATGACTCTAAATCAGCTGGTCATTTCAGATTCGTAAAAACTTTATACCTGGTGAAAAGATAATTTTGGTGGCCATCAATAAAAAAGGACATTGAAAGTTACGTGGCAAGTTGTCCAATCTATGCTGCCACTAAGATAATAAGAAAAGACCCCCAGGCTTATTGCAACCAGTAGAAACCCCATCAGTGCCTTGAAGGTAAATTTCTATGGATTTTATTGTGGAGTTACTGGAACTCAGTCATTTGGGTGAACACAGTCATTTGGGGGTAACGGACGTGTTCTCTACACAAGTACATTTTATCCCATGCCAAAAAATCCCCAGTGCAAAGACACTTGCAAAGCTATTCGTCCAACATATCTATTGACTTCATGGAGCCCCACAACAAATCATATCAGATAGAGGAGTACAGTCCACATCAGAGTTTTTGAGAACATTCTTAGGACTGTTGGGGACAACCCAGGAGTTGTCGTCTAGTCATCATCTGCAGACATATGGTGAGACTGAACGGTTGAACTCAGTACTGGAGCAGTACTTAAGATGTTTCATTAATTACCAACAAGACAGCTGGATCAACCTGCTCCCGTTCGCAGAAGTCACTTATAAAAATGCAGTACATTCCAGCATGGACTACATTCCAGCACAATTGCAAAATACCTGGCCAGTTGTGAGGAGGGCATTAGACAAAGCTAGGGAAGCATATAAAATCCAAGCAGATAAAAAACAGTGAATCCAAACCATTTACAGTAGGGGAGAAAGTTTATCTGTTAACAAAATACCTAAAATCCCTACAACCCTCAAAAAAAGCTAAGACCAAAATTTTTGGGATCTTTTCCCATTAAAAGAACATTAATCCTGTCACAGTGGAATTAGACCTCCCAAAGACACTCAGACAGGTTCACCCAATTTTCCACTGCAGTCTTTTAAAATGTGAACTGCAGTTGCCCTTAAGGACAGCTGCAGCTCCTACCCCTCCTTCAATTATGGTAGAAGGTGAACAACATTTTGAAATTAAAGAAATCCTAGACTCCAGAAAACATCATGGTTCCATCCAATATGTGGTAGTGTGGAAACACCTGCCACCTTCCCAGAACAAGTGGGTCCAGAAACATCATATTAGGACCTACCAACTCCTTAGAAATGTCATACTGTGTACCCGGATAAACAGGATTAATCCTTGTCTCCCTTTTTTCTGTTTTGTTTTCTACAGGTGGATCTCTCTGTTTTCTAAGGGGGGCAGGATGTCAGAATCCATTCTTTTTCCTGGGAGGGGGAAATCTATTTCATCTCTTTATTCTAGCTTACAGAGGGTTCTGCCAGTCTCCTGAGGGGGAGGGGGGAAGGCTCTGTGGTATATTTCTCTGCTTTGCTACAATGTACCCTTTCCACTAATTCCGCAAACTTAGTCTTTGAACTGTCTCTCCCTTGATGTTATCTTGGGGGGAGAAAGGAATGTGCCTCCAGCCATCTGGCCTATCTTTTGCTGCAGAAGGGAAGGTGTGAAGACCCAACAACATCATCACAGGCATGGGAACGGACCCTGTTATCAGCTCCTTTCCCACTTAACACCATTCAAACTGACCAGATTAACTATTGGGGTGGGGTTTTCTTGGGACTCTTTTAACCTATTGATCTGAGTGGGAAACCCTCATATCCTGCCTATTATGCCTGCTATCAGCTTCTCTTAATAAAAGTTCCTTTTGGAAAGAAACTGTTCCAAGAGTCCTGCTTTCTTAGGATGCAGTTTTGAAGTGGGCCCTGACATTGCCCTGACAAGTGATCCTAGTACTCATTGGTGAACACTATAAGGATGACACCAGTATGACCATAGTGTATCTGAAAGAGATGGTGCGAGACAGAGGGGCTTGGAAAGTGCTGATCCAAAGAGTGGTCATGGGTCAGACATTACTGAGAGGCTGATGACAAAATGAATGAAGTCTAGTAGTAGTTTGTGTAGCCAAACTAATTCAAAGAAGATCACACAAAGATGAAATTCTGTATAGAAAAGTGTCACATCCAATATACCATAAAAGATATTTTCTATATATAGCAACCAGGCTATGCAGGCAGTGGTTTTCCTTATGACATTCTATGGAAGCAAAAGTTGAAGAAGCAGGATAGGAAGACTATTGATGCTTTTGAACTTTAGTTTGGTGTTGAAAAAGACTCATGAGAATACCATAGACAGCCAAAAAAGCAAAGAAGTGGATCATAAAATCAATCCAAAATTCTCACTCGAGGCATAAACACCTAGGCTCAAATTATCAAATTTTGAAAATATTATGTGAAAAACAAAGAAGGAAAGAAAAGAGGATGTCCAATAGCCAGATGGATAGGCTTGATTATATGGCAAATGGTATACCATTAGAACACTCAAAGGGCCTGGTTGGGGACAGATCATCCTGAAGAAAATCTGTCAATGTAGTCACTAAGAATGAAAAGCAATTTGATGGCACATAATCAAGTAATCAAATCCTGCAGGTGGGAAGAAAACATGGTGAAGCAAATTTATCCTAAAATGCTAGAGATTTTTCAACAATAATGTATATCTGTCAGAATTATATATATTTAACTCAAAAACATCTATACAAAATCTTTGACTTATGCATGTAAGACTTTCCTAGGAACATGTGCTCCTAGATCAAACATCCAAGTCAACTATTTTAACTTGGTGAAATGTAGTTGTTGAGATTTTCCTGTAACTTAAGAATTGGCACATATTCTTCAATTTATGAGGCAATAAAATATACAACATTATATATATATATTATTCAGAACATGGTACTTAAGCTTTGTCTGCCCTTAGAGAGAAACAAATTCATATTCTTTCCCATTGTCCCAAAGTCTTAAAGGTCTCAGTTACTCACTGTGGCAAGACTTGAGAGTTGTAATCTGATTGATACATTGATACAATGCATAGAAAACTAGAGCAATATAGAAATGACTCAGACAGCAAGGTGGATGCTAGGAATTCTTTATGAAGTGATATCTTCAGAAATGAAGTATGTCTTTAGAAAGGTAACTCTTTCCTTCTCTGTAGGAATAACCACTGTGCTGACAATGACCACCATTAGCACTCACCTCAGGGAAACCCTTCCCAAAATCCCATATGTGAAGGCAATTGACATCTACCTTATGGGCTGCTTTGTCTTTGTGTTCCTTGCTTTACTGGAATATGCATTTGTCAACTACACATTCTTTGGTAAAGGCCCTCAACATCAGAAGAAAGCAGCAGAAAAAGCCACGAATGAGAGGAAGAAAATGGAGATGAATAAAGTTCAGGTAACCAATTTTCTGAAAGTTGATATAATTTCCTGGACAAGCATGGTTGAAGCAGAAGATCATAACACTCCTAACAAGATAATTTGTTAGTGAATACATATTACAAATGTAAATATGCTTTATAAAGTGGCCTAATCCTCTTGGTTGGAAAATAATTTTTGGAAAAACAATTTTTGATTTAGATAATATGAAAGGATTCAGAATATTCAATAGTTCATCATGTCATTAATTAGTATATGATATTCGATAGTCAGTGATTTTAATACCAGTATTTATTGTTTAAATATTTCTCTCAAAATTAGCCTACAAATATATCTGTGCATTCCATACATCCATAAATATATGTATAAAGCAAAAACTTTAAAATTAGTGTGGAAAATCTATTGATCAACTTATACTGATTATCTGTTTTTATTGTATTATGGACCTTGCTATGAAACTTTACTTTTTGAGAGATACAAGAAATATCAAAGTAAAGTAAATAAAGAATCCAAGAAGATGCATGCACTTCAATGGTGAAAAAAGTAAGGTACTGCACATAGACAGGAAAAATCAAATGCACAGGTATAAAATAGACAGTACCTGGCTCAACAATAGTAACTGTGAGAGCGATGTAGGGGGTTCTAGTGGACAATAGCTTAAGTATTAGCCAGCACTGTGCTACAGCTGCCCAAAAAACCAATGTGGTCCTGGGCTGCAGCAATAGGGATAACATCAAGATCACAAGAAGTAATAATACCGCTCTATACTGTGATAGTGAGGCCACATTTGAAATATTGTATCCAATTCTGGTCACCATAATACAAAAAATGCTAAAAAAAAAAGCATCCAGAAAAAGATTCTAGAAAAAGTGCAGAGAAAAGCAACATAGACGATAAGAGTTCTGGAAACTAAATTGTTAGATGAATGATTACATGAACCAGGTATGTCTAATGAAGAGAACGACTAGGGGATGACATGATAGCAGCCTTATAATACTTGAAGGACTGTCACAGAGAAGAGGCAGTCCACCTATTTTCCAAAGCACCTGAGGACAGGACAGGAAGTAGAAGCAGAAGATCATTAAAAAGAGATCCAAGCAAAACTAAAGAGAGCAATTTATCAATGGAACGGCTTACCTCCATAAGCTGTGGGTGCCCCTTTACTGGATGTTTTCAAGGAGAGGTTGGACAGCCATTTGTCTCAAATAGTATAGTGTCTCCTTGAGCAGAGCATTGGATAGGATGGGATGGGATGGGATGGGATGGGATGGGATGGAATAGAGTAGAGTAGAGTAGAGTAGAGTAGAATAGAATAGAATAGAATAGAATAGAATAGAATAGAATAGAATAGAATAGAATAGAATAGAATAGAATAGAGCTGGAAGGGACCTTGGAGGTCTTCTAGTCCACCCCCTGCTCAAGCAGGAGAACCTGTACCATCTCAGTCAAGTGATTGTCCAGTCTCTTCTTAAAAATCTCCAGTGATGGAGCACCCATTGTTGAGTCCTTGAGTCAACGGTGAAAAAAGAGCACACATTCTGATGGTTCTAACAGCTTTTATTCTCTTCAGCTCTCTCCGACACAACTTGGAGGCTCACAGGCCTCTCTGCCTCCTTTAATAGAATCCCTGGGCAAAAAGATAACAAACTGGCGCACTTCCGCGCCTTGCGCATGCGTGCAGGCTGGCACCACTCAGTATGGTCCCGGGCAGCTTGCAACAGCCCGGGACCATTGCAATGTCCCAAGCCTGCTTTTGCAGGCTCGGGACACAACCCTTTCCCCCCCAGATGAAACTTAATTAAACTATATTGATAGATATACGTGACCTCAACACGAGCATGGTGTGCTATCCCTATGGAACCGCACATCTGTTGCAGCTACTTACTAGCCACACTATAACATGGTACCATGCTATTGTTTTGGAATTAAATGCCCAAGACTCGCACTTCCAAGTTCCCCAACAGCAGGCACCCTCTTCACCTCCCTTGTTTTGACAGCAATGTCACAAAATCTTCCAAGTATTTGTGAGATCTTTTAACCCTCTGTGACCTCCTCAGATTTTGAGAGCTCCCTTGATCATCCTGTGCAGAGATTGTAGTGGAGTTGCCCCCTCTTTTAAGCCCTGATGGTCCCCGTGACCTGGGTTCTGTTACCTGGTCTGCTTGCTTGCCCACCGGGCTCGACAGACCAGGACTTTGCTCCCTACTGTACATGGTTGATCTGCCTAACTGTAGGCTCTCGGGCCTCACTATGTTCTCGCCAGTATTTGGCGTTTTTGTGATACTCTCCAAGTCCACAATGGACCTATCAAGGGAATGCATCCCTTCACTCCCAAGCCCCGTAACTGGGTTGTCTGGGGTTTCTGCAGTGCCCCAGTACTCAGTTGCCCCCCATTCTATGCCAGAGGTACCAGAATCAGGATTTGCCTCTCTGACTACCTCCCTGTGTGTAGACTTCCTTTTGGAAGCAGTAGCAGCATTGGGCCAGCTTATTTGTTTGTATGCCAGTTCTCTTATGTTATTTGGGTTGTTTGGATGCTCCTGGTTATTCTCCCAGCTTGGAGTGCTGTATTGGGCTTGTGAATAATGAGTATGCCCCCTGGGTGACTCCCTGGCTGGAGTAAGTACTGGTGCCTGTATTGTTCCTTGTTCCCCTGAATTCCTGTTAGGGACACTTGCGGAACCTTGGGAAGGGCCTTCCTCCAACTCTCCGTTTGGCCCTGATTCTTGCCAACACCCTTCCCTTTGCCCACAGTGGTCCCCCTCCCCCCCGGAGAAAACCCAGGAGTTGCAGAGGGAGACTCCAGTCTCGTACACAGCTGATCAATATGCCGCTGAAGGACACGACTGTTGTTCAGGGAAACCCCATAGGACAATGGACCAGTGACCTTGCATACTACCGCCAGAACTCACAGGTGACTGGGCCCATAGTTCCGGGTCCATACCGGGGCGCCTACTTGCAGATACCTTGGTGCCCTTGGTTGGGCAACTCGAGGAGCCACCCTGTCCAGATGCAGCCTGTCAAGTTTGGTGATCAGTCTGCGCCCCCAGTGAAGTTCTGCCGGGCTCTTCCCAGTGGAAGTAGAAGGTGTGGTGCGGTAAGCAAGAAGAAAATCTGCCAACCTGTGGTGCCAGTCCCTGTAGGTCAGTTTCTTGAGAGCATCCTTGGTGATGCGAACCATCCGTTTAGCCATACCATTAATGGAAGGGTGGAATGGTGCCGAAGTTGCATGACAAATCATGTTGGCCTGCAAGAAAGCTTGAAACTCGGAAGAAATGAATTGAGGACCGTTGTCAGAAACCAGAACATCTGGAAGGCCATGTGCAGCAAAAATCCCTCTCAGTACTTGAATGGTCTTGGCAGCAGTAGTGGAAGAGACAGGAACAACCTCAAGCCACTTTGAATGGCTGTCAACAAGGACCAGAAGAATTGTCCCTGAAAGGGCCCAGCATAATCCACATGCACCCTAGACCAAGGTGACTGTGTCTCCTCCCATCTATGCACAGTAGCCTGAGGCATTTCAGGGCGTGAACGCTGGCACAAATGGCATCCATGCACTTGGGCCTCTATTTCCCTGTCTAATCCCGGCCACCATAAATGGCTGCGCGCAAGCGCTTTCATCCTGACAATGCCAGGATGACCCTCATGGAGGGAAGCTAAGACTCTAGGTCTTAATGAGGTAGGAATAACTACTCTGCTGCCCCACAACAGGCAACCCTGAGAAGTGGATAACTCATGCTTCTTGAGCCAGAAGCTCTGGAACTCAGTACCTGGACAACTCTCAGGCCAGCCAGACAAAACCCATGACAGCACACGAGTAAGTGTGAGATCTGTAGCTAATTCAGCAGCCACATCCCTGGCAATTAGGGGAGACTCAGGCAGCGCCCGAATGGAGAGAATATTGATGGCAGGGGCAGGGTCAGCCTCTACCATTTGCAGAGGTAATCTACTTAGGCCATCAGCGTGGCCCATGTCCTTGCCAGATTTTTGAATCAATGAAAAATCATAGGCTGACAAAAAGATAGACCATCTCCGCATTCTAGGAGAGATGATATGGGGAGTTTGTTTGTTGGTGGTAAATAACCCCAACAGAGGCTTATGGTCAGTATAGACTGTGAAATGTCTGCCATATAGAAAATCATGGAATTTTTTAATTCCAGCGACAATGGCCAAGGCTTCTCTATCTATCTGAGCATAGTTTCGCTCAGCAGAGGACAAAGTTCTGGAGTAATATGCAACAGGAACCTGAGTTCTATCAGTTCTTAAATGGCTAAGTACAGCCCCCACCCCATAAGGGAAAGCATCACAAGCAATGCAGACAGGAAGGGTTTCATTAAAATGTCCAAGCATATCATTTGATGTAAGTAAGGCCTTGACCTCATTGAAACTTTTTTCACGTACTTGGGACCACTGCCACACTGCCTGCTTGTCTAAAAGCCTATGAAGTGGTTCTGCTACATTAGCCTTGTTAGGTATGAAAGCACTGTAAAAATTCAAGAGGCCTAGGAATGCTTGTAACTCAGCTTTAGACATAGGCCTAGGAGCCTGCTGTATGGCTTTTAATTTAGATTCAGCAAGGTGAATACCCCTGGCATCTATTCTGAATCCCAGGGAATCTGTAGAAGAAACTCCTATCTTGCATTTGTCTTTTTTAAGTTTTAGGCCTGTTTTTCTGAAGTGAAGCAAAACAGCCCTTAACCTCTCAGCTAAATTCTGAGTGCATTCTCCAGCAATAAGGACATCATCAAAATAGGGGCAAACCCCTGGGATACCTCTCAGGGTGTTTTCCATAACACTTTGGAAAATTCCAGGAGCTACATTTACTCCAAATTGTAGTCTCTTGACTTTGAATGCCCCCCTATGGGTTACAATAGTCTGTGCTTCAGCAGCAGCTTCATCAACAGGTAACTGTTGATAAGCCTGTGCCAGATCTAACTTTGCAAAAACACGCCCCCCTTTGAGGGAAGCCAAAATATGGCTGACTACAGGTACAGGATATGCATGCTGTTGCAATGCCTTGTTTAATGTGCATTTGTAGTCTGCACAAATACGAATGTCCCCATTAGCCTTGAGAGGCGTAACTATGGGGGTTTCCCATAGACTTGAATCAACAGGTTCTAAAATACCTTGCTGGATCAATTTATCCAGTTCAGCATCAATTTTCCCTTTAAGAGCAAAGGGTACTCTCCTTGCTTTCACCCTAATGGGAGTGACAGTGGGGTCAGTTTCAAAGAAACTGGGGGGCCTTTGTAAGATCCAAGCTGTGGACTGAAGACATCTGCAAACTCTTTGCAGACCTCTGCTAGGCCTAACGTTTGCAAATTGTGTAGCCCTGTAACTTGGATTCCCAAGGCCTCAAACCAATCGAGTCCAATAAGACTCATTCGTTCACCCCCAACTACCAATACATCTAATGGACCTTCAAACTCCTTGTACTGTACTGTAAGGGTGGCCTCCCCCTTTACACACACCTTGAAATTTTGAAAATCTGTTAAGATTATATTGGATGGCCTAAGTTTGGCCTGGAACCTGCTGCTATTGCAAATCTTCCTGAAAGTGTGGATAGAAATGATTGAAAGAGCATATCCAGTGTCCAGCTCCATAACCAATGGAACTCCTTGCAACCTCACCTTAAGTGACAGTTTCTTTTTAAGTGGCTTGTGTGTGCCTGTTCTATAAATACTTCTGCGTGATGCACAGAAACCCACCCTGTTTTGGCTGGGGACCCTGGTACCTTTCAGGCGCAATTCTTCTCGAGGTTGTGCCTTCTGACAGCCCAGACAAACAGATGCTATGTGGCCTTGCCTGCCACATGCTCTACAGATTGCAGAACGGAACCTGCAGTCAGCCCTCTTGTGGTGACCTCCACACCCGAAGCACTTGGACACAGCTGGAGCCTTTTCTTTGCCTTCCTTCTGCTTCCTTTCTTTGGATGGGTAGAGATGATCCACCTCATCTTCAGGATCTTCCTCTGAGCTCTCTTGGACTCCCTCATGGTGCACGGAAACTGCTTCTGGGTTGTTCCTGATAGGCCTCATATTCTTGACCGCCCCACCTGCTGCCTCCTCTGCAGTGACCTCTCTCAAGGCATCTTGGAAGGAAATATCTTCTTTTGCAAAGAGCCTCTGTTGCAAGTCTCTGTTCCTTAGCCCGCATACAAAACGGTCTCTCAGCCTTTCTTCTAAATCTTTAAAGTCACAGGGCTTAGCTGCTCTTCTCAAGGCTGCAATGTATTCTTTGGCTGATTCACCAGCTCTTTGATCCCTCTGTTCAAACGTGTGTCTCCATGCAATAACAGACAACTTGGGCTGGAAATGTTCCTTCAATAACTTCTTTAAGTCTTTATAAGTGACAGACTCAAGAGGAGCAGGGGCTGCCAAATTTTCTGCAATTTCAAATGCATCTTGACCACAGACACACAGCAAAGTAGCAGCCTTCAAGCTTGATTCACTCTAAAGTAATTTTCTACTCTAGTGACATAAGACTCCCATCTTTCTGGGTGAGTAA